CTTTACACTTGTCTTGGTTCTTTTTTTTTGTTTCTCTTTTTGAGAAAGGGTTTCGCTATGCACTTCAAGCTGGCCTTGAATTCACTCTCAAAAAGACAAAAAAAACCAAAAAAACAGTAATTTGCAAACAACAGACATTTCCCACAGTTCTGGAGACTGGCAGGTCCAACTTCAAGACGTCAACTGACTGGACACCTGCTGAGGGCTCTCCACTTCAGGGACTGCATTTTCTTCTCCCTCTTCATAGGGCAGGAGTGTGCAAATTCCCTCGGGTCTTTTTTTTTTTTTTGGTTTTTCTCCGGTACCAGGAACCGAACTCATGACCTTGCGCTTGCCAGGCAGGCACTTTGCCGCTGAGCTAAATCCCCAGCCCTCCCTCAGGCCTTTTTATAAAGGCATCATTCCACTGATCTCCCAAAGGCCTCCCACCTCTTAATACCACCTTCCTGGGCATTAGGTGGCAACATTTACGGGCTGGGGATATAGCTCAGTGGCATAAGCGCCTGCCTCGAAAGCGCAAGGTCTCGAGTTCGATTCCTGGTACCAGGAAAACCCAAAGAACATTTGTACGGGGGAAGCACAGCACATTTAACCTCGGGGAAGCACCTCTTACTCTACCTTAGACTACCAGGCAGGGCGTGCACAGGGTTCTAGATTCCCTCAGTGAAACAGCGCAAGTCAAACCTAAACGTGCGGAAGTTTCTGCAGGTTGCATATGAATCTACAGATGGAAGTCTTCGTAAATTTAGATCAAACGGCCCTGGCAAATCTCCGCGACCAGTCACGGCTATACCGCTTGCCATCAAGCACCAGCTTTCCCCGTGACGAAGTGCCGGGGTCTTCACCGCAGTGGAGTCTTTCTGTCGTAAGATCCGGATCGGGTACCAGAGAGCTGCAGCCTTCAGCCTTGTGAAAAGGGAGTTCCCGGCGTTTCAAGCTTCCGGCTCCTCGGCCGCGGGGTGCTCCCGAGGGACGCAGCACGTGTCATCCGCCGCCTCAAGCGCGAGTCCCTTCAAGTTCCCCGGGGGTCAAAATGCAGCTTCGACTCAGGACCCGAGGAGTGGGGTGGTGTTAAGAGGGAGAAGAGGCGGGTCAGGACGCGCGTGGAGCGCGTTCCCACCCCCGGCCCGCGGGGACCCAGCGCCACCCGCACGGCCCGGACCCCTCCGAGGCGGGGAGCGGGGCTCGGGGAGGGGTTAGGGTCAGGGTTAGGGGACGAAGCCGCCCCCGGCCGTCCGCTGGGATCGCCCCGCCGGGATCCTAGCGTCGGACGCGGGGCTCCGCGCTCCCGCCAGGCGGGATGCACCCCCGCCCCGCCCGGAGCCCCGCCCCTCCTCCGTAGCCCCTCCCTTCCCGGAGCCCCGCCCCTCCTCCGTAGCCCCTCCC